TAGGAAGTTAAAAAATATATATATTTTAATACTGATTTCTTATTCATATACCTGCTATGAACATGATATTTTTCACTAAAAAAACTGTTCAAAGCAATGTATTTAGATATTCACATAACAGATACATACTAATCAAGATTGAAATCAGAAAAGAAAAATAACCATAACCACAGTAAGAAACCAAAATCTACTATTTTATTTCTTTTCTTTAAAAGATTTCTTCGTATAATTTTGTAGTGGCAACTAACATTCAATATTAATAATTATTTCACATTTCTATATTCTCCAAAAATTCCGTTGTAAACCTTCTGGTAATACAATTGAAAGTATAAAAAAACATCATTGAGGTGTTTGTTGTACAAAGACGTAAAACTTGCAAAAACATAGGTAAAAATAACAGAATATAAATTTCACGAACTAAATAAAAATTGTTATACTATGAGTATCACATCCATAATACCAATAAAAATAAAGCCGTTCTAAAAAAACGATGAACATGAAATTTATTACGTAAAACGATTCATTGATCAAAGGCTCTACAACAATACGGATAAAAGAACCTTATGAAAATTATATCAATTTCTTAATATTTTTGTCGTCAATATCTAAGAGTTTTTCGCTTGCTTAGTATTCATTGTGGGCTTTAGGAATTAATCATCCAATGATGATTTCGTTTTCGTGCACCGGAATGGGTCTAGGCAATACAGGATCATTTTGAATTCAGAACACGATTCAAATTAAGTGATAAAGCGTTCGCAGTACTTCGCCTCTGCCCAGCTGTCACCGGCTAATGCGCGAAGATGCCACGTACTGTACTGTTATACTTGTTACTGAAATGAACAGTTCTAGTAAATTATCAGTATTCAAGATTCTAACTGAGAAATTCCACTCATATTTAAAGTATCATTAATTACGGCCCGTTGAGTATTGGATGTTTGAATATTGTAAAAGTATTATAGTAAGTATAGATTTTATATAAATTATTGAAACTAAAAAAGTCGCTTTAAAAGTTTCCAGTTTATGTATAATTGAACTTTATAAAATAAAACGCTTATACATATATTTTGTAGTAAAAACTTTTTTAGTTTTATCTTAATGAAGTACCTAACAAGAAATAAAAAAATGTTTACAATAACATATGTATATATTTTTAATGTAAATTTATATGTGCGTACGCGCCAGTACTCCATCTTAATTAAACGTATTGGTCAATCATCCAAATAGTTTTAAAGTGATATTAAATGTTTTTCTAGTATTCTTGAAAGCAACTAGTAAAAACTATACAATCTCTAAATAATATTCTGAATATAAAAAGACTATGGAGCAATACTGAATCTTCAACCAAATGATCACGTAACGATACAGTATTCATTATCGACCATTGAGGGTAACAAAGGAAATTTGTAAGAGATAAAATGCTGTTTATGATTTTATGATACTCCTCTATTCCCGAATATGGTATCGTAACCTAAAGTGTTACGACTTTCCTGCTACGGGTGAAAAGCAAAAAGTGTCATAAGAACACGTCTTAGTTACAAAGGATATGAACCTTAATGACATTTGCTTTAATAGCAACGTAATATATTAAAAGATACGACAAAAAACTAAAAAAAGTCATCATTCAACTTTTTCCATTTCAGAACATATCAACATACCTAATTTTACAACATAGACAATGAACAAAGTTAGTACGCTGAACTATTCCTTTTCTATAAAGAAAACAAAAGTCAAATACTTTGATAAAATTTCCATGGACCGCCCACGTGTTATGTCCTCTGATCAAACAATAAACTATATCAACTTAAACTGTAAGATCATGAAAATGTAAAAGGCTCTTTGTGACCTCAACTGGGTGCGGGGCGAGCGGTCGCTAACGCTGCCAAAAGCAAACCTTCAGTTGAGACGAGGGAGCCGTTGGACACAGACGTGCTATTGCGCTCCTTTAATCGTGTTTCGTAAAGCCAAACCAGAAACGTGATTATTTAAATTATTGTGTGGTGATAAAAAGTTTTAATAATAATAAGAGGGCTGTTATGTGATGAGACATTTTGGATTTTATGAAGAGGATGTTTCTTTTAATTGCCGTTATCAGCTTGCTTATAAAAGGTATAAAATATATTGAAAATATATTTCCAATTTACAGTTAGAACCCTTAGAAGTTAAAATTAAAATATTATGCTACAAGTTTTGTAAGTCAGATGAAATATGAAACGTTCTTTGTTCTAACTTGGGCGCCAATAAAGTATAATATAACTTAATATCTAAAAATTATGACTTTATATTTATAACCAAAATTTTATAGCAGCTTTTTCTCACATATTTTAATGATCCACATTTTTCACACGTCACATATTTTATTATTATTATAGTAAAGAGTTATCTTAACAAAAATAAATTGCGGTCATGATAAATAACTCTAAACACGATAAAAACGATAGCATGGTCTAAAAATAAATAACATAGTATTGAAATGGTTTCTCACACTATATCGTTTCTATTACATAATAAATGAAGATAAAAAAATTATGTGACATATTTTAGTAACAAAAATATGTGCGCTCAGGACTTTTCTTCTTATCATCGTGGGATTATATATAGTAATATAATACTTAGTATAAATACATGCAGTTTACTAAATTAACAAAATAATAATTATGTTACATAAAAACTAAAGTTGATGGTAAGATAATTCATGAATAAAAAACTGTATATTAACCTCTCATTAAACTCGAGTAATAATAGTAATAGGAGGTTCATTTCTTTAGTAAACAAAAATAATATGAACAACTTTTAACGATAGAAAATGACATATTAAATAGTCTTAAAATATGTGACAATAATGACTACTTCGGTGATATAAATATATTTATTTCATGTCTTTAAATCGTTTCTATTTAATTGTACCAAATTGTAATATGGTAGTAAGTATTTCTACATATATAGATAATTTATATTAATGGGAACAGTTTTGCCTTAGTAATCATATTTTTTATCATAAAGCTTACTCTGTCATGTAGGAAACAGTTACGAGAATGAAATAACATTTTAATGTATTTCATAAAAAAGTTGACCTCTTTCTGAAAGATGTAACGTTTCATAAATATTAACTTGCGTTATTTTTTCGCGTATACGTTCCTTCAAAGATACCGATTATTGAATTTTTTTTATATTACAGTTTATACATTTATATATATATATAAATCTGTCAAACTAGTTCGATGTATGGACGTTGAAATAACTTTTCTTTTTTAATATAATAAATAAAATTTATTTTATATACGTTTATAGTTTGAATTGCCATTTTGCTGAGTTCGGATTTATAAAGGACGGTAATTTTTGACATAATACTAATGCGGCTTAAGTTTTGACACCTAATTAATGAGCAAGTATGAACTGAATAACCTTTATTTAATTAAATATAAGCTTATTAAGAAAAATATTAACATGAGTTTTGTAGTTTCGCTTGAAGGTAATTATATTATATACTTTCATATTGGACTTATAATAAAAATAGCTTTGCTGCATACTTTTTTGTATAAAAAATATCATTTATATAAAAAAATATTGTTCATTATCATTACATTCAAAATATTTGTAAGTTTTGTTTAATGTTAGTATTGGAACGATTAAACCAAAAATAGATAATGGATATGTGTCCTCGGTAATAATATGTTATAAGGAATAATAATTACTCTATAATTCTCTATAATAATGTCTAAATTATTCAAGTAATATTATTTTGACAATATAATATAACCTTGAGTTAGTATTTAGGTTTGCTTACAATAGATAAATCAGAACATTTCAAAGGATTGTAGTATTTTTTTTATATACAATAAGTTGTTTAAAAAAGTATTTTTTTTTTCATATAATTCAATAATGAATACTAATATACCTTTTTTTAATTAAGTTGACCAAAATTTTTAATTTAGGCCATGACAGAAAGTAAATGGTGGACTTTTAAGTAACTTCTATCAACGAGGTTCGTCGTGATTTTAATGGCAATGTAAATAAGTCCCGGTTGCAAACCAGTAACAAAATCAAAGCAAGCCTCCGGCTATTTTAAGCCCGCCGAAATAAACTTTCCAAAAAGATTTTTTACTTTCTTTAACTAGTGAATCTGCAGTTTATGCTTTTTTGGTTTTGTTTCAATATCTTCTATAAGAGTTAATAGAAAATGATATGAAATGAATAATAATACAGATAGAATATGGAAATATATTAAGAATATTTTGGCATAAAGTTAATAAATTAAATTACGTTTATCTGGATAAAAAATTATTACTAATCATGATTAATATGGTTTTTAAATCATCTTCAGCCAATTTATATAATTGTTGTCTTACCCTGCGGCGCTCAGGGGAAATGAAGCAACAGCAATATTTATTAAAGATTTTTTCCGTCATAATCTTTAAATTGTTGTAGTTTACACGTTTACTTTGAGATGTTGAAAATTCCATTTAATAAAGATAATATTTACATATCAAAAAATAATCATTATAATAAGTACATGATATATTATTTATGTTACGTGTATATGGATGACCTAAATTATATAAATGATAGCTTGTTTAATATTCCATTTATATCATAATATTCGATTTCGATTCATCGTAATTTTATTGCAGTTTTCATTGCAAATTATGATAAAACGGACATAAATTTGTTTGTGTTTAATTCAATTATAAACCGAAAAACTTGATTTACATCGTAACAATGTACATATTAATAAGACATACTTTGTAATATAATTCCAGTAAATAAATGTGTTATTTATTTTATTTTGTTCACTTATTGGTAATTAATTGTTCAAAAAAACTTAAAGACACTATTAATATTCTATTCAAATCTACTCTTAAGGCATTAATTAACTAGAAGTTCATTTTTATACTTCAGTTGCTTTTTGTCTTCAATCCAGCACTCACTTTAGATGATAATCTTAAACAATTCAAAGCCCATCTCCGTTTCAATGGAAAAAAATGCACATTGTTTTATTAACGATGCTAGACTTCTTCGGTATGCTGTTTTTTATGATGAATTTATGTTTCGGTATAACTTCGTAGAACTTCGCAGAATATATGTTTTTGACACCATATAATAGTGTTAATTTTAAGATTAAGATATTAATAATTCTGAATGATATTAAATTTCATTTCTATTTTTATATGCCATAAGAATTTTATAGTAAGAATAAAAAATACGATTTCAATTTAATGACTATTTAAATGATCAACAATAATATATTAAAATTTGATTAAAAAAAATTACAGTGATACTAATAAAAATAAGTATCTATTTTTTCAGTTTTTATTTCTAGATCGTGTATGAAGGACATATGACAAAATTGGTTTGTCGTATAAAATAAACCTTGGCCTTTAAAAATATGTTTTCTTTAATTCAAACAATATAATATAAAATATCAAATAACGAAACAATGAAATTATTTAACACCAATTTTAAATTGAATCTGATTTGTTTTATTTTCATTTCATTTTCAATAAACACGTAGAATTGTACCTAATTTTCAACGTATTAAGTTTGTTAATTCATAAAGTTATTCAACCACGTCAGCTGTACTAATTGTCGCAAAGTTCTACCTTTCTAACTATTCCCCTTGAACTCAGAGTTTGTCTTATCTTACAAAAAGTTGTCTTTCCTTGCAGTTTCATGTAGATTTTGCTCTAGAGGCAATTTCTCCGATATTTTATGTTATCTCCAACAGCTTCTTTCGATTAAAACTTTTTCTGTTTCTCAATAAGTTATTATAAATCATTTTTAAATTATTCTTCTATATTCTATTCATCATAAATTAATGAGATAATATAATGTCAAAGTTTTTGCTTATATTTTAATAAACACAATTTCATTACGACTCTCATAATATTTCATTTTTTCTCCCATGAGACAAAGGGCAAATATAATACAAATATTTGTTTCCACCCATTGCCATAAGAGCAATATTTTTTGTCATAACAAGGAAACTGTAAGATTAATTTTCTTGTTACAGAGTCCTTATTACTGAGGATAGTCCGGGTCAATGTGCCGTCGTATCGAGTGAGGGGTCAGCTGGCGCAGTTGGATTGTGATTACGAATTAGGAGACGATACGTTATATTCAGTGAAATGGTATAGAGATAATGAAGAGTTTTATCGATACATGCCGAAATATGACCCCCCGAAGCTTTGGTATAAATTGGATGGAGTCAAAGTTGATGTAAGTATATAAAAATTAAGTTTGAAGTTTTGTTTAAATTACAAAAAAAATAACTTATCTTTTAATTAGATTAACTTTTGATCTTCACTGATTGAAGAATAATAATGTTCACTAAGTTTATTATTTATTGTTTGAATACAATTAATAGGAAATATTTGCGGTATTAATAATCAAATATAAGTTTAACAGGCCATTGTTAATAAAATTCTTATTATAATATTATCGTAAAATTATTTACTTATGGGAATTAATTTCAATTGAAAATAAAAAAATTATGAACTTTTACCTTGTCTTTGTAAGTCCACTAATTTTTCACAAATCATTCTTATAGAAAAAGGGTGTTGTTTTCTTATAATCACTAGGTTTGTGGGCCAGTAGTTTGGATACTGTCAATACCTTTACTATGGTCAAAGGAAGTGATAATTGAAGTGTTTGTCATATCAGTCCTTTACATAGGTACCCCATTATCTACTGATCTACTCAAATTAGAGTTTAAATTTCAAAGTGTCCACATTTGTTATTCGCAAGAACCTTACGGACTACACGGTCAATTTATATAAACGAATTCTTAATTCTGCTTTCAGCAACATAACTTCCTCCTCTCTTTCCGGAATGTTATTTGAGTTATTTCAAATCAGTTCTAGATTTAATATATATTAAGTTGTACTTGACGTTTCGAGATAAGTGTTTTTCTATGATAACGAAATAAAATAAGGAATTTTCAACTTTGGCTTCCAATATAATATAAGAAAATCTTTGATAAAATCATCATATGTCACTTTCATTCAATAAGGATAATTTCATTTCTGTCGAAAATATCCTTTTAAATGGAAAAGCAAAATATATGCATTCAAAGCAAAATGTTACATTGTTTAATATTTGACTAATAGGTATAACATTCGATGTTTAAAATTAAAAAGTAATTAGAGTTAAGAATACGAATTGGTGAACGTACGTAAGGATATATGGTATATATACATATGAATATATAAAATAAATATTTACACAAAAATCTCTTATGGGTAACACTTATCTGGAAAGTATTTTTATGAAATTACAGTTTATAAAAAAAATGGTAATATCAATGTCAGTGTTGCAAAATATGTCATTAGAAGTATCCTATCTAAAAGAAAAAACCGTGATTGCCTCAAGGCAAAAAGGAAAAGAGTTTTTGTTTCATATTTAAATGATATACAAATTAATCGATTAATTATTATAATTGCCATTTTATTTGTGTTTAATTACTATAAAAACATAAACAGATATTACAAATAATATAATAGACTATAAAAAGTCACGAGTAAAAGCAAACTCTCCCAAAGCAAACAGGATCGAAACAGTGTAAAGCATGTCAGAAGCAGATTTAATACATACATTTAGAGAAATGTTCTAATTATTATTAATTGGAATAAACCATTGAATTTCTTTGACATAATAAGTAAAAATGTAGTTCACTGTGTTACTGGTGTACAGGCGAAGCAATAGACAAATTTATAAGACTACTTAAAAAAAGTGTATCCTTTTAATTCTTTCAGCATAAAAATTTGTAATTTCTATAGCATTATCATAATTATCTTAAACACCCATGTCCGTTATCAAAATTAGTCTTAGAATCATCGATGTTTTACTATTGATAAATATGATGTAATCTTTTTCTATTTAGATTGTAAAAACTAATAATAATTAGGAAGACAGTTTCAATTTCGTCAAAAAATTTTAAGACGAAATTCTATTCCATAAAAAAATAAACATTGACACGAGAATCAATTTCTTACCGTTCATACATTCGAAATAAGAGTAAGATACTCGAAATGTCCTTATATTCTGAGCTGTGTATTGATATCTTGAATCATTTCCAATTTGTTATATTCTGTGGATATTTTTTCAGTTATATAAGTGAAAGCTAGGTATTCTATTAGTAAATATTGATTCTATGACCAAACAAAAAAGTTATCTGTAGCTGACTAAAGAAAAAACTCTTAATGTTACAAGGATCAATAAATAATTAATTAAGACAGTCCCGTTAGTTAAGTTTTTATAGTCAATGTATTTTCATTCTCATTCTCAACCATATCACGGAAAACTACTTAAGGGATTTATTTATGAGGCTTTCACAGTTTTCCAATACCTCACTTTGGTTAGAAACTAAACTTATCAAGAGTTTCCTAATCAAAGAGAATCGGTTTGAAATGACTTATGGAAGCTGAGATCCAAGAAAATAAACAGTCAAACAAAATTCTTGAGTATATTTTTTATTGAGTAAGCCTATCGATAGGTACGGTGTTATATTTTTTATATAAATATATATTATTTATATAAATATTTAAAATGATTATATATAAAGTATGACATTAAAAAAATTAAAATTAAAAAAAATTATACATTGGATTGTTTTGAAAAAAGTATTCTTCAAAACGGTTTTTAAAATACATTTTTATTCAAAGTATTATCCCTACTAACTACTTATATTTATATAAATGCAGCGATATAATAAAAGTAAATTCATTTTGCAGCTGTCGTTTGTAGAAGACGAATTTGTCTCTTCCGTGTAATCTGTGTTTCCTAACAAACACCTATTCACACGCTGACTGATATAAATTATTTAGTTTCAAAACTTATTTGCCTCAGGTATTCTAACGTTTAATAAAATACTTCCAGTCACCTTATTGAATGTTAAGAAATAGTTTCAATCTACTTTGAAGTGATAGAAATTTTTCTTTCCTTCTGTAAAAATACTACGTACCTATACTTATTCAATAAACAGTTTTTCAAGGTATATTAAACAAACTTAAAACAACCTAGAATTTATTTTAAATTTATATTTACTTTTAAATGACACATTACTTAGAAATATGTAATCAAAAAGATATTATTATTACAAAATACTATTTCAATAAAGTAAGAAAATATACGAATAACGACTAATTGTAGATTTCTTTTACATTCATTAACAAGGTAACAATAATTTTTACGTGGGGATAAAATATGCAGTAAACCCTTTCAATTATAATATTCCTTAAATTCTTGAATACAAAATTCCTAAAATTTCATTTATTTTCTCATATTTAAGCAATGACTAACATATTGAAAAAATATAATCAATTGTTAATGTAATCATTTCTTTGTCAAGAGTGTTTGATCTTTGAAAAATTTATAGTTATTTTAAACAATACCTAAACTTATAACTCTTTGATTTTTATATAGATTTACCAATAATTTTTTTATCTATATATTTAGATTGCACGTTGTCAAAGAGTTACAGCCAATTTTTAACCCATTGCAAGCTGCTCATAAGTATGCTAGCTAGACTAAGACAATAACACTTTAAAAAATATATATATATGTCGGCACTAGCGCGCCACTAAACATAACTATAACCAACACGTGCACCGATCACGCCACCGAGCGCGTGATTCGATGCCCCACTCTCCCCACTACTAGCTGTATAAAAGACGTGCGCGATTATTCTACAGCAGTCTTGGCTCTGACGTGGCGCGGTGCACTAGTTGTACTTAGCCTGTTAACCTTGACTCTTTGGATAATTAATTTGTGAAAACGAATTAATTATTATTCTGGTGTTGTAATTTGGTCCTTGGACTAATTATATCCGATTTCAACTATTATTCAGTTTAAAAGAACTTCATGCCTTGAATTATGGCCCATCCATCTATCCATTTTTATCTTATATTTCTACATCAGAAGTGGGATAGCGATCCACCTCCATCTCATAATCAAACCAACTGCTCTCTCTCTCTCTCTCTCTCTCTGCCTAGCCTCTTCCCATTTCAATTGGGGTCGGCTCTCCTCGTCATTCTTCGCCAGGTTGGTCTTGTATGGTCGAGACATCAAGTTGGGCTTCCTTTAGGTCCTTGTTTATAACCGACATCCAAGTTAAAAAGGGTCTCCCTCGTTTCTTAGGTCCGGTATCTAAGCTCAGGACTTGTCTTGTCATGTTGTCTTCAGGTCTTCTCATTACGTTGCCATACCATCTCAAACGCGCTTCTAAGAGCTTTTCTTCGATTGGGCGGATCTTGAAACTCCCACGGATATATTTGTTTTTCACTTTATCCGTAATAGTGACTCCTCCTGCCCATCTCAGCATTCTCATTTCCGTCGTGTGCATTTTTATGGTATGAGTCTTCTTCACAGGCCAGCATTCAGCACCGTGGATAAGGGCGCGGCGAACCGCGGTTTTGTATGCCTTTCCTTTAACTCTTATCGGCATTCTTCTATCGCATAAGACACCTGATAGTTCCCGCCACTTCATCCATCCTGTCTTAATTCGGTGGTTTATATCGGCGTCGATCGTACCATCATTTGTGATTACAGAGCCCAGATACTTAAAATTTGCTACTTCCTTCAGATGGTAGCCTTGAAGCTCAACCGGTTGACATTGATTGGAACCTGAAAAGTAGCAACGCATGTATTCAGTTTTTTGGCGGATGATCTTTAAACCGGCGTTCTCCAGGGTGGATCTCCAGGTTTCCAAAGATGCTTCTAGGTCTTCGCGGCTATGTCTAATGAGGACAATATCATCCGCGTAGAGAAGGTCCCAGGGTGGATGTTTTTGTATATCTGCTGTGAGGTAATTTAGCACGAGATTAAAAAGTAAAGGACTCAAAGCTGAGCCCTGGTGCACACCTACTTCTACGTGAAATTCATCGCTTAGACCTGCTGGGGTTCGTACTTTTGTTGTAACTTTGTTGTACATATCTATAACCGCTTTAACATAGTATTCCGGGACATTTTGCGATCGAAGCGATTGCCATATTAGTTCTCGTGGTACTCGATCGAATGCCTTCTCTAAGTCTATAAAAGCGAGATGTAGGTCTTTTTTAATATTTTATACTTTTCCAATAGAATCCTTAGAGTATGTAGAGCGTCTGTTGTAGATCTTCCTTCTACGAAGCCACATTGATTTTCAGTTACCTTAGTAAGTTTCACCAGTCTGTTGTTTATGACCCTTTCCCATATCTTAAAAGTATGTGGTATAAGTTTTATGGCGCGATAGTTGTCACAGAGTCTGACGTCACCCTTGTTTTTATAGAATGGAATTAGGTAGCTTTTTCTCCATTCACTAGGTATTCCATCACATAAGATTCTATTGAAAAGCGTTTTTAGGTACTGGACGCCGACTTCCCCTAAATTTTTCCATAGCTCCACGGGAATCTCATCAGGACCATTCGCCTTGTTATTTGCCATCATTTTAACGGCATTTCTGACTTCTTCGGTGGAAATTTCCTGAATAGGTCCTTCTACGGCATTTTCTACGGTTGGTACCTTAAATTGGGAGCTCTCGTTGAGAAGATGGGAATAGTGCTCCCACCATCTCGCCTTTATGTCGGAGTTAGAAGTGAGCAAGTGACCATCTTTGTTTTTGATATATTTTGTTGTTCGTATATCCAAGCTGTTCGCGTATCTATATCTTGCAAGTCGAAATAGTTCTCTATCATCTTTGGCATTTTCCAATTTGTTATAAAAGTCTTCGTCACAGGTCGCCATAGCACGAGCAACCTCCCTTTTCGCCTCTTTTTTTTACTCTGCGATAGATTTCGCGATCATCATCGCTGCCGCTTTTTTTGCCAGATCTTAAAACGGTTTTTCTTATTTCTCACTTTTTCTTCCACGTTTGGCTGCCACCATTTAGCTTTTTTGTTGTTTGTAAGCGGTCCTCTGGTGACTCCCAATAATTCGAAAGCCTTACTCAGACAGTGGTCTTGGAAACGGTTAGACATTGTTTCTGCTGTGATATCGTCTTGTTGTAATATGTTTTCAATGTATTGCTTAACATTTACGATCAGTTGGTCACCTTCCGTGAGTGTTATCAAACCAACTGCATTGAAAAGAAAAAAAAAAAAAGTTTTTTTTTTGGAATGGAAGCAATTTTATTAAAATTAACAGATAGTTTAAACCAGCATCCTATTAATCCACCTCTACTTTCTCTTTTTAATCCTATGTTCCCCAGATGGGGCAGAGGGCATCAATTATTTGCCTGTCAATGGCTTCCAGAGTCCACGTCCGGACTAAACTTTGATAAGCTTGTGAAGGTGAACGGTCTAGCTCATTAGAGTCTATGTTCGGGTCATCGTTCACTGATTTTCTAATAAAAAAAGAGCGTCAAGACCCAAAAAAAAAGAGTAAAGAAAAAAAAAGTTGAAAAAAGAGTAAAAAAGTAAAAAAAAAAGTAAAAAGAAAGTTTAAAAAAAAAAAGTCAAAAAAAAGTCAAACAAAAAAAAAGAGAAGAAAAGTAAAAAAAAAAGCAAAAAAAGGAAGGTTAAAAAAAAAGTAAAAAAGAAAGTTTAAGAAAAAAGAGAGTAAAAAAAAAAAAAGTTTAAAAAAAAAGTAAAAAGGAAAGTAAAAATAAAAGAGTAAAAAAAGTAAAAAAAAAAGAAAGTGTAAAAAAAAGAAGGCAGAGAGTTGAAGGGCTTACGCCGGTCCAACCGTGTGGCTATAGGGAATCATAATTCCGGTCCAGCATGAAGGCTATAGGGAATAGTAATTCCGGTCTAGCAAAAGCTATAGGGAATACTAGTTCCGGTCTAGCAAAGAAAAAAAAAATGTGGCTGAAGGGAATTATAATTCCGGTCCAGCATGAAGGCTATAGGGAATAGTAATTCCGGTCTAGCAAAAGCTATAGGGAATACTAGTTCCGGTCTAGCAAAGAAAAAAAAAATGTGGCTGAAGGGAATTATAATTCCGGTCCAGCATGAATGCTACAGGGAATAGTGATTCCGGTCTAGCAAAGGCTATAGGGAATACTAGTTCCGGTTTAAGGCTATAGGGAATACTAGTTCCGGTCTAGCAAAGGTTACAGGAAATTTTAATTCCGGTCTAGAAAAGGACCTCAGGACGGATCAGAACTAACTACCATAACTCTGAAGGGTCAGTGTGGACCGAACCAGACACTATAATATTGTCAGGATAGTCGAACGATATTTGAGGCGCGTGCGAGGGCGAACGCATGTCAGCATGGCCGTGTCGGCACTAGCGCGCCACTAAACATAACTATAACCAACACGTGCACCGATCACGCCACCGAGCGCGTGATTCGATGCCCCACTCTCCCCACTACTAGCTGTATAAAAGACGTGCGCGATTATTCTACAGCAGTCTTGGCTCTGACGTGGCGCGGTGCACTAGTTGTACTTAGCCTGTTAACCTTGACTCTTTGGATAATTAATTTGTGAAAACGAATTAATTATTATTCTGGTGTTGTAATTTGGTCCTTGGACTAATTATATCCGATTTCAACTATTATTCAGTTTAAAAGAACTTCATGCCTTGAATTATGGCCCATCCATCTATCCATTTTTATCTTATATTTCTACATATATATATTTGCTAATGAAAATACTTGAACATAAAAAATAGTTTTCATTCCTATATGATTAGTGATTACGTAATATTTCCATCCTATATTTGAATAATTCGTAGGTATAATGGTGGTGATTCGTAGGTATAAGTGGACCGTATGTTATTTTAAGGTTTATAAATATATTGATATTATTGCATAATTCTAGCTGTCAAAATCGGATGATAGAAGAGTAGTATTGCATCAGGTTACACTAAAATCATCAGGCTTATACAGATGTGAGGTTTCTGCTGAAGCTCCAAGTTTTGCGTCATCGGCTGGGGAAGGTAGAATGGAAGTAATATGTAAGATATTTTCAATATACATGTATATTTAAATTCTACGAAAGGGTTATAAGATATAACTTTAATGTATAGCTATAAGATATTACTAATTTATTTATAAAAAATCCCAATGTACACTTAAATTTACTTTATTTTTTCTAATTTGAATGTGAAAAGTTTTAAATTAAAAAAAATTGAAATTGTAAAATTTTTAAAGTGTTTTTGTTTAAGTGTAATAGTAAGAATCAGAGGTGTCATCAGCATCGTCTATTACTGAATATTAAAATTTATAGTCGTATTCTTAGTATCTTTTCAATTTATAATATAAATATATTTTTGCTTTAGAATGACATGCGAAAGATGAACAACTTGAAACTAAATTTTACATTTCTACTTTGATTGATCTCCTTACCCTCTAGATTTACCTCGAGAAGGGCCAAGAATAACAGGAAATGAACAGGAAAATAGACGAGGAGATTCTTTATTTTTAAATTGTACTTCGGGACGGTCATATCCAGCAGCTATTTTGAGTTGGGACATCGATGGTGAAAAGGTAACTATTAGATTAAAAAGTGGATAGTTAGTATGCTCCTTATTTTTGAGTCAAGATTTTAATCATCTTACACCTCATCGATAATAAGGGTACAACTTAAAAAGTTTTTCACAAAAATGCTGGTAATTACAAGAAAATAGTTTTAAAACCTAATAATAAATTACCTTAATGCCACAATGTTTTAATTTCTCTAAATAAATGTCTTGACACTAGAGAAAAATCTGCTAGATGGAACAAAGGAAAAATTGCCCTCTTAGGAATATCTCAACTAATAGCTTACAAAATTATGAAGTAAAACTCCAAAATCCCGCAGCGAACGACCTAATTTAGAGTTTTTTTGGTTTAAGTTATAAAAAGTTTTGAATACTTTTCTGATTAACAATCTGATAATGGCTATAATCTTTCCAAAGTTCTATTGTTTGAAACAACCTTTTGGTATTAAATTCAAAGTTCGATAAATTCTTTTGGTATAAAATATTTTACTCGTTTCTGATATAGAATGGAATTTATAATGATTAAACAACAATTAATAACATGTGTCAAAGCAAAGTTTGATGTGGATGAAAATAAGGTGTTGAAACATGATAGAAGTTGAAAATAGAATTTGAATTTAATAACATTTTAACTTGTTTGTTTGATGCATGTCTTTCGAATATGATTATATATCCAAAGAGGGGCTTTTGTATAAATAGCTTTTAAAACAGATTTGTATTGTTATTGTATCAATTCTGGAAACTGATTTCAGAAATCACTTTAAATATCTTATTACTACATCTACTACAATTTGACTAGTATAATTCAATATCACTATTTTAAAAACTTTTTTACATGAAGTATATTTTTTAAAAAATATTTTCATCCTCCAAATTTTAATATTGATGTATATATATCGTAGATATTAAACAACGGTTTTCAATTACTCATATATAATATCTCAAAATTTCGTTTCATTTAGGTTACTGATCCGGCACTACTAGTAGAATATCCACCAATCCAGCACTCGCATGGACTACTTTCAACTGCTTTAGGGCTGCGGGTACCAGCAGGTCGAACTATGCAAGTTAAGTGTACGGCAAGGGTTGCGCCAGCATGGAGGGAAGGCAGCGAAGCAGTGGTTGGCAATAGCCAGTTAGCAGACAGTAAGGAAGCTATGTTGTTAGGTTGGTTGTCATTCATATAAACATAGATTAAAATACAATATACAAAAAAAGTTACAAAGAAAAATAATGCACGGGCTTCGTCAAGCTACAGTATTAGTAAAAAATACAAGATTTTGATTATAAGTTTACCATATTCAAACATCTAAACTAATCTAAGTAGAAGTGATTGTTCCCGCAACGTAAGGTTTGTAATGGTTTTATAGTTCCTTTACGATACATTTTTAGTTTCTATGAAAAAATACTGATAGCGGAAAAACCCGACATAGTTTTTTAGTTTTAATTCTATTACAGAGATCAAATCAATAAATGGATGGAAATATTTATCTGTTTCCCAAAAATATGTTATACTTTATCTTTAATTTTTTTAGAACTCAGTTGCAGCACTAAATTAAACAAGAATGTTAAGGTTTTTATGAAACATAGTATTATATATATATAGGTATATAATATTATTATTCTAATAATATAAAAAGTAAAAAAATATATATTTTGTTGATGTAAGCATTTTCAGGATTTTTGACTGTTGCAATAAATTAAATTAAATTCTGGACAACAATACATCACATAAAATAACAATTTTTATCCGTGAAAACATTCATGGGTATATAAATTTTAGATCAGTTGACTATAGATTTACTATTGAAACATAAATTCACAATTTAGGAGAGTTTGTTTAAATAAAATTGAAGTCGGAGGCAATTGACTACGCATTACGGTGATATTGTGTACAGATTGACTGCTAACGTGAAAAGTGTATTTTCAATAATTTAAACAGATTTTTACTGGAAGGCAACTTATATATACTATAACATTCTTTTCAATGAAACTCTGACCTTTTAAAGAAAATTGTGCCCAACGCTATTCATAGTATCAACATTTCATGACACGTTGCTTTCAAAGAGTGATTTTCAACGCTACTCCAAAATGTATGGAACCTATTACAACACCTTTATAGTTTACAAGCACGAATAAACAATTCACTGTCGTGATATTGTTTTGTAAACATGAGTATTGTGTTGTACATCAATTGGATATTTTAATAGTTACAAGAGAATCAATGGTCTTCAAAACAAATACATATATATAAAATATTTAAAAAACTTTAAATATTTTTTTTAATATTAATTTTAACTTCAAAAATTATACCAAAGCCAACGATACAATTGGATAATTGTTAATTAAAGCGTTTAACAAATGTTCACGTTTAAAGGGCCGACAAAGTTTTTAGAGATATCATTTCATTCAAAAAGCTCCATTAGCTGGCTGGAATAATAACCGTCTTGTTTGTTTCAGTGAGGAGCTCAAGCGCGACGTCTACATTAAGTGTAACGTTGTTAACACTTTGCCTACTCCAATTTCTCAGTTCTTTAAAACAAACGTGATAATTTATTCCCTTTAGTTATTAATACGACTTTGGTGACACGAACTCTAAAAGGACGATTAAGGCACGCCATATAGAATATTTTATGATGTAAGTTTTTTTTATTCCAAGAGTAATCAAAATAATTGTATCGATTTGCATAGATGGATTATATTATTATTTACAAATCAGATCGCATACATATCTTTGATATATCTTAATTATTATTTATTTTATAATTATTATAAAATCGGAAACAATGTCAATTATTTGATTTCTCGTTTCAACAAAGCTTATCATTGTAATCTAAATTATTATGAAATGTAAATACAAGTTTAGGGATGCCTTCTTAGATATACTGATACTAATGTAAATAATAGAAGTTCTTTTATATCGTTATTGAAAATATTAGGCAATAAACAAAAATGTACGTATCTAATTGAAAATGTTGATGTAAATTTAGTATGCGTTTCAACTTTATTATTTTATTAAATTTGATAAAATTAAGGATATTCTGAAGTTTTATTCTTTTATTTCTCACACATTTTGCCCTTCTTATAAAACGGATATAAAAAAATTAATACACTATTTTTACAGATATTGATTGTATATACAATAACAAGTATTTTGAAGATAAAAGAACACAAACATTTTAATCACAAATTAATTCACATAAACAAAAGGAAGGTATAGTTCCGTAATGTCTTTACTTCTAATATTCAGTCTCAATTGAATTCGTGCAATTTCGTAATGTTTGCTCGAAGAGTCCACTTCAAGACGACGTCCGTTAGTACAAAAAAGTTTAGGTTTTAGGATCCATTCCGTTTCATTATATTTAAACGGCTATGTCATATGAAAAATCGTCATGTTATTATAAGCAAATAGAATTAGGACTAAAAACAGTAACTTTTATTTTCGATAAAAGAAAACTTTAAAAAATTACTGGCTAAATATTTTAATCATAAGCCAATTTAGCAGAAAGGAGGATATTATCAGAGTAAACATTAACAAAAGGTAGATATTAAAATTAATTTTAGATGTGCCAAGATATTTTATAATCCTTTTGTTCGAACACTGAGGAGATTATAAAGTTTTCCGACTGTTACGTAAGAAATTTTGTAATAATTGTATATTCTCATTATTAATGGTTTTATATTATTAATATACAATAAGATTTAAAAAAGAAACTATAATATCTACGACTTTCACAAGTATTAATTAAAATAAACAACGTTTTTATTTATTTTAAAAACTACATACCTACTACCGATGCTTCGGTAACTTTGCATTTACAAGCCTCTTCATCTCACCCCCGTGATCTCAGTTTCTGTAAAGGATTCGAAAGGTCGGAAGTATGTAGTTTTTGAAATAAAAATAAACGCGTGGTATATCCGAAATAAGTTTTCCTTAAAAATAAATGTTTTGGTTTATATATTTATGATTAATAGCAGTGGCATGCACACCATAGATGCATATAAGCACTGCATACCCTACCCATATACCAACTAAACATATAGTGTATAATTCTTATTTACATACTTTTAATCATACATTACGAAATACAAATGTTAACAGACATTTAAAATACATTTGATTTATGATTTGTTAATAAGTGCCATCTATCAATGTAAAAACGAAACATTTTCGATCGGCCGCTGCTAATTGCTAGCACCGCTATGCAGCCAGAGCGGCGGTATGCACAATCACTCTGTATTTATTTTCCATACAAAAATTCTCAAGGACGATTTACAAATCTCGTGTATGTATACAGGAAATTTTTGTATCTGTTGAGTGTTGTGTAAAACTAACATATGCATAGTGTTCGAGAAGCATTGATTATTTTGTGTTGTTTAAAATGTCGTAGAAAGTCCGATAATTTTCAAAGGAAACGGATTTTCTGATTGGTCAGTAAACTCTTCATATATTTTTTTCGCTATTTTATTATTATTGAACATTGTTACTTGTTTTTCTAGGTGCAAGTAAATAAGTTTTAATTAATAAACAGTGGATTAGTTTACTAATAAATTATGGAAAATTATAGCTGTGAGCTCTGTGCTTGTGATATGTGTTTATTGAAATTAGTTACAAGTATATTTTCAATATTGTCGTTTGATAATAAAATTTAAATAAGTATAAAGTCAAGCTGTGTGACCAGTTGAGATTGATCTAAAAGAAAGGTAATGTTATTCGTTTTAATAAGTATTATTATAGTTTTAATTAGTTAGCTGGTTGTATGTACACACAAATCTGTATTTTGTTTGCCTTGTTTGTTGTTTTCAATTGATAATAATAATAAGAATGTTTGAATCTCCACTAGATATTCCTATTTAAATAACTTTTATAAAGCTGTGATGAACAGATCGTAATCGTTTTAAGGTTGACAGATTTATAAAGTATATATATGTAGATGTTCGTTCTGATCGGACTGCTGTAACGTTATTCGCGAATATTGTCAAGCTATAAATGAAACTAATATTTTCTGATCACTTCGCGTATTAATATGTTTATAAATTATATACTTCCGACGTTTCGGTTACTTTGCAGCAACCGTGATGACTGCAGACAACTCGTCTGATCGTTAACATAATAAAAATATTTGTTACATTTAAAATTTAAATCAATACTTGCGAAAGATGTCATTATTATCAATGTTTTAGAGGAAGAAATTACGAAAATACGTTTTTCAAATTTTATTTTTCAAACATTCTTCTTACCCTACCCCAAATCTCTGTGCACGCCCCTGATTAATAGACTTGTGTTATAAAGAAAGAATCCCATACGGAGTAATGTTTCGAAATATAATAAATAAAGAATATATCAGATATATTTTTTAGTTGAAATATTGTACAGAAACTGCTGATCTGCTAGTTAAACAAGTTGTAAGAAATATAGATAGGTAATTTGACTCAAATTATGCTCGTTTATGTTATGTTTTCTTATTATGTATGCATGAAATATAAAATTCAGTGAATGCTTTTGTTTCAAAGATTTCTATTTATTACTGAATAATGCACTCTATATACATTACTACATGGTCTACAATAAATTGTTTTGTTTGAAATAAGCTGCATTTAATAACGACATTCAAAGTATTCTTGAACACGCAAGGCGACCGGAGGGCTAATAAAAATAGCCCGATATAAATCTACATCTCCATCAAAAGTTTTTAATGTTATCCCAACTTTATAAAAACACGTAAATTCATTTAAGTTGACTTCAATTTATACAGCAATATTATTTATTACCTAAACACTTTGACATGGAAAGGGCAAGTTATAATCACCACGCTATCATTGCGTGTTAGTAAGTAACAAATGTAATAACTGACTGATTTGTCTTTTATTGGTTCACAATATAACCTCTTGCGTAATTATTTTATATGAGATACAATATTAAAAAGAAATAAATACGTTCATATATATACTCTCAATTAATATAATAATGTTTACATTATTTGTATATTATAATATTTGCCAATGAAATTGTTCCCGAAATTACAGAGTTAATTAATCTTGAAAAACATAATTTTTGTTAATACATATTAATTACTCGTAATATGATGCTGGTTATATAAAAAAACTGTCTTTAAAGATATGAAAGCCATCAAGTTAACTCTGTCAATTCAATCTTCGGTTAGGTAGTACTTTCACGGTTTTCAACGAACAAAAAAAAAGTTTTCGTCTGTGAGATAGTGTGATATTAAAGTTTTCGTCAAAAGATATAATCCATATTAATTGAGGCAGATCGCTGCAATAGTTTTTATGTAATGAGACAATATAAGTATTATTATGCTATGACTTTCTACGAGTTTACAAGTTTTTAAAAGGAATATGAATGAATGGATATGTTGAAGCTCATTTTAGAAACTAATTTTTGAATCTACATCTAATCTATTAATTTACTATATTTAATTTTAACAGATTATCACAAACCAAAAAATTAAGTTATTCGAGGAAGTGATTTATTTATAGGTACTATATAAATAAACAATAATAACCAACACTACCATTCGAGCTATGAAATTAGGTCAGTTTGATATTATTTTATAGTGTTACTTGAAACATTTTATTGTAATCACATTATTAGAATCACAATTAATGATTATATCTTGAAATTAATGCCATTATAATTTTCGATTTGGTAAAAGCGAAAACTATTAACCAATTACTACAAAAACCCTTGAAACATTGCTCTCAAGTATTAAAACTTTTATCTTTCTAAATTGTGAGGTTGAAGTACAAATTTATATACTAAATTTCAGAAGCTGAAATTAATCTAGAGAATCCTTCTACGTGGATTTTTTTTTTTTTCTATTTTAAAAGGCACTTAAATTCCTACTTAAACTGGCATATATGATTAAGACATAAAATGTAGTAAGTTATATTAGTTTATATATAATGTATTATTAAAACGTAAAAATTTTGTCCTATTATACCTCATCTGTGAGATGAAAAGGCAGAATATTTTTTTTAATACAATAAATATTCAGTTTCTTAGAATATTTACTACTATTATTGTACTAATCAAAACTAAGTAAACTGCTTACCCAGAAATATATGTAGGTACTCATAAGATTTAAAGAGGTTAAATTGTCTAATCTGTAACGCTGTGATAATTGCAATGGTCGGAAGGACGTGACAAAATTATAAGGGTTCTCAGTTTGACTGAGTGACCCTAAAACAAACATTAGGGTGGGCGTGTAATAATTTGTACGAGGGTTTATTATTTATGAACTACAGATTACTGCTTATAGCATACACGAAACAGTATCAGATAAAATAAAAAATGCTATAATTTATCTCTGTGATTAATGTTTTTTTTAATAAACCAGAATCACAGTTTTATGTTCTATCTTTTTTATGTTTTGACTTAATTTGATTGGTTTTATTATTCAGCAGTTTATCAACTTTTTCTACCAATGGTATTATTAATTATGAAATGTATACCTTTTAAAAAGATATAAGACATACACAATACATAAAGTTGTAACATTTTTATGAAGACATCAAAAAATAAGTTGAC